TGTTGATAACACACCAATGTTTTAGTTGTTGCTAAGTAGTGCTTACACTAGCCAAGGACTTTTCAGCTTCCCATGCTCTACCGACTGAGAAGGCTGGAGGTGCACAAGAAGCTGGGAGGGGGCACGGCCAAACTGGCCAAAGGGACGTTCCATACCATGTGACGTCATGCTCAGTACATAAACTGGGGAAAGCTGGCCGGGGGGGCCACTGCTCGTTATTAAACTGTTATCTCAACCCATGAGTTTTTCCTCACTTCTACTCTTCCAATTCTCTCTCGCATCCCACCGGGGCGGGGGGGAGTGAGTAAGCAGGTGTATGGTGCTTAGTTGCTGACTGAGGTTAAACCACGACAGATACAAACACAATGCTTTAGTATCAAGCATTTAAAATGGTATATTTTCTTCCAATTCAAAATCATCAGGATTGAGAACTTTATCTAAACAAAATATATCCACATTTGCTACAAAGCAGGAGCAAAATACAACTTGTTCGTTCTATCACTATGATGACAATTTCTTCAAGAAAAGAGGAGAGGGGTTTGTAACTTGTTTTTGTTTTGGCACATAAAAAAAGCATTAGAGAACTTTTCAAAAGACAAACAGTTTTTCCAACATCCAAAAGTTAAATTCTCATCTCAGTATCCCTCTTCCCCTTGAAGCTCTCATGTTTGTAGTTTTGCCTTAGAAATTGCGTTTTGGTATCCATTATGAAACTTTCTCTGTTTTACTTATATCTCTATCAATTCAGTTAAACCAAAGCAAGCACTGACTTTACATTAGTCCTATTATAGTTATTAGAGTTGATATAAAGAAAGCAAAACTTGATAAGCTGAGGAAGTGATTTTTTTTTTTCCTTACAGACAACGCAGATACTTGCTTTTACTTGTCAACTGAAAATGCTGTTTTCATTCAAAGATTCATCAATTTGGATATGGCTGGATACAGTTGCTAAATACCGATCTAAGATTTCTTTCAAATGTTTCTACCAAAACCAGTAACACCAAATTTGATGTTCTCTGCAGGGGAAGGAGCAAGAGAAGAAAAAGAGCCTAGACCTATTCCATTCTGTACATCATCTTCAATAAAAGAGTTATTATAATACCACATACCTTCAACAGATTGAGAGGCATGAGAATATGTATAAAGGGGACCTCTCATGGAGACTCACTTTAGCCTAAGGCCATTTATCTCCATAAGTTTTCTGTTTGGTTGGTTGGTTTGATTTTTTGTTTGTTTTTAGGTCAACTTAAGTTCTTTGTCAACTGAAATGCTGTTTTCATTCAAAGATTCATCAATTTGGATATGGCTGGATACAATTGCTAAATACCGATCTAAGATTTCTTTCAAATGTTTCTACCAAAACCAGTAACACCAAATTTGATGTTCTCTGCAGGGGAAGGAGCAAGAGAAGAAAAAGAGCCTAGACCTATTCCATTCTGTACATCATCTTCAATAAAAGAGTTATTATAATACCACATACCTTCAACAGATTGAGAGGCATGAGAATATGTATAAAGGGGACCTCTCATGGAGACTCACTTTAGCCTAAGGCCATTTATCTCCATAAGTTTTCTGTTTGGTTGGTTGGTTTGATTTTTTGTTTGTTTTTAGGTCAACTTAAGTTCTTGCCCTAAAATCAGGAATTTAATTTAAACTCTGAATTGCACTCTGGATGAACCTCTCTTCTCAGCTGACTACAGGGGAAGCCCAGGGAGACAAACTTCATTAGGCTAAAATTAACCTTTTTTTATGTAACATCCTTTCCTGAAGTGACTTACTTCAGACTACCTTCCAAATAAATTGCTGCTGAGGAAGTGATTTTTTTTTTTCCTTACAGACAACGCAGATACTTGCTTTTACTTGTCAACTGAAAATGCTGTTTTCATTCAAAGATTCATCAATTTGGATATGGCTGGATACAGTTGCTAAATACCGATCTAAGATTTCTTTCAAATGTTTCTACCAAAACCAGTAACACCAAATTTGATGTTCTCTGCAGGGGAAGGAGCAAGAGAAGAAAAAGAGCCTAGACCTATTCCATTCTGTACATCATCTTCAATAAAAGAGTTATTATAATACCACATACCTTCAACAGATTGAGAGGCATGAGAATATGTATAAAGGGGACCTCTCATGGAGACTCACTTTAGCCTAAGGCCATTTATCTCCATAAGTTTTCTGTTTGGTTGGTTGGTTTGATTTTTTGTTTGTTTTTAGGTCAACTTAAGTTCTTGCCCTAAAATCAGGAATTTAATTTAAACTCTGAATTGCACTCTGGATGAACCTCTCTTCTCAGCTGACTACAGGGGAAGCCCAGGGAGACAAACTTCATTAGGCTAAAATTAACCTTTTTTTATGTAACATCCTTTCCTGAAGTGACTTACTTCAGACTACCTTCCAAATAAATTGCTTGGGGCAGGGGAAGGAATAATGGGCTAAAGAGAGATAGCTTCTATCCTTCTCTTAATTCTTTATTTTATTGGCTAAGAAATTAAATTCTTAAGAATTAAAATCTTAATTCTCTTTATTAGTCTTCTTTTCTATCCAAATCCCAGGCTGCAATCATTAGGAAACTATCTTCCCAATAGTTTTGCCTCACAAATTGAAAGAAATAAGAAAGCTAGAACTAGAGTTACTAGGTTTTCTATAAACACTTATGTGTATGTTCCACTAATCTTTTTTCATATCCTTTCTTTATAATACGTAATAATTGACTATGAACAAGTAACACTTGCCAAGCTAGCTTAACAAACAAGATATACAATGTCTATATCTATGCAAAAAAAATTTCATTTAAATCTATCTAAAGATCAATTAATACCAATGATACCGTTTGGTCTATGTAAATAAGATGATGTCAAATTGTGTTGAACATGTTTAAGGCATGTAAAGTTTTTTTCCAACACAAACTTTGTTGTTGTTGTTAATGTTTCTTAGTTAAAACAATGTTTATTTTAATTTCCATGGCGCTTAATGGCAATCCACAAATTCATTTTCTAAGTGTTCCCTTCAAGTGTTTTGTTTTCAACCCTCTTGGAGGAAAAAAAAAAGTGTATTTTTACAGAAGGAAGAGGATAAAGTTACTAACTGAACATGCCATTTTTGTGGTTTTGTTAAAGGAAATATTTAAATTTAAAGCCAGAGCCAGCTATGATTTTTTTTCCAAAATTCTCATTAGCCAGTTAACTCAGAAATTATTTTCTGAAGAAACAACAGAATCTAGAAGATAAACAAACAGGGCAACTACAATACTTTCCATAACAATTCGTTTGCCAGCCTGAGTGAATGGTACCACACTTTTCTATCACCCATGTGAAAGAAAAAACACTTCAATTCTAAATGCATGTTAAGCATGCTTTTGAACTAAGTTGAAGCAAAAAGCAAATTTCAATCACATAGCTTGTTTTAATTACAACCAATACCTTAACTGAACATTGTACTGCAGAGCCTCATGAATATTCAATGACAGAGTAACCAATTACACAATATTAGTGCTTTTTGTATTAAAAATTACATTTTCTTCTTCAATTTTTGCAGCAGAGTGGAGTAATGGAATTTTATTTAGTTTACTCATCAGGTTCATACTCTGTCTTCATTTGTATTTCTGCAACTACACCAAGCCAAAAATCAGGCATTAGTAAGTCACATAACTTTTCTAGTCAATTTACTCTGCAAAGGCATGCAGAAGTTATTTGCTCAATTGACTTTCACAAAGCTACACAGTTGTAACCCTTACTATGATGGGTTAATATTCCTTAGGGAGGTCTGTATATTGAAAACATGCTGAATATGCTTTACATTGGTACATTACTCAATCTTTAAAACTGAGCAGAACATTGAAATTTTACCAATTTAAATCATTATTTCATAGTGCAAATGCAGTAGAAAATAACTAGAACCGTGTGTTTAAGAAAGCGAGGGATGCAACAATTCAGTTCTGAACTACTCAAGAGATCTGGTTCTTCACTGTATATTTTCACTGTATAACGGCACATCTTTCGCTATATCCTGCAAATATTTTGGGAAAGCTGAGTTTTTTGGGGGTTGGTTTGTTTGTTTCTCTAAAGACCTATTTAAGAACCTCAGAACGTTCAAAATACTAGCAACATAATTCTTCAGCTTTTTCAAATAAACACTTGCTAATATAGCTAAGATTTACCACTGTGAAGAAGAAATGATCATTCCCCAACGCACTTAAGTGAAACTGGCCACTGTATCTTACTTCTTCACCTGAACTGTTTATCAGATGTTGATATTGTGTAATACTGCTTCAGGATAGGTCCTAATTCTTAAATTCACTATAGTAAAACTCATCATGTTATCTAATAGTAGCTGTCTGGTCTTCTGCACTTCTGAGCTAGATCTCACTTTTGTCACATACCCAAACCATATTGTACTTTCAGTTAGCACAAATGCACAGTTACATACTGAGTTTTATGACATAACTTCCACCCCTGAACATCCATCTAGGCAGAGCATTGAACTCAGTGGGAATTATGTTTGATAGTTATGGGCAAAAATGTAGTTTTTGGATATTAGTTAGGCAATCCAACAGTGATTTTTATCTTCTAGTTCATTAACTTCAGTTTCTGATCTGGACTGCAAAGGATTAACGTTTTCACAGACAGTAAGCTACCGCTGTTGGCCTCAATAGAAGAGTGTGCAAACACAGAAATTGGTGTTATATAAACGTTTTCTTAGCATTCCATATCTTCTAACCTGTAACTTTTATACTACTTTTTATGAATAATTTAAATTTGTTTATGAAGCAGCGCTTTAAAAACTAGCAAATGGTCAACATACATGTTACGTCAACCAAAAAAAAATGACTGAAACATTTTTAAAAAATTGTCAGAAGAACAAGTAGCTGACCTGTGTAACTCTTATATGCACAAGACTCCTATTAACTTCACTAGATGAGACCCACAAATGAGAAATTAGCCCAACTGTTTCAAATAATAGAAGTAAAATATAAATGCAACTAGAAAGCTGGATATTACCTATGAGAGGAACTTAAGGTCTGGAACCGTCATGGTCTGTATAGTGCCCTGTAGCACAGGTGAAGAAAGGATAGTGAAAATTCAGCAGGCTGATGGTTGGAATGCTGCAGGCAGGAACTTCCTGTTTTAAACATAAAAAGAAACAAATTTAATGTTATCTAGACAGAAAAGGGGTTTTTTTTGTTTGTTTAAGCAAAACAAACAACTCCTCCCAAACAGATGATCAAGCAAAGAAAGAAATCGGGACATTACCACAGGTTAATTTCTTTCAAATAATCACAGAATAACTAATCAGCAACTAACAGAAATAAAGTATGTAGTCAGTTTGCTTAAGAACAAATAAGATCTTATTCTGCCATTTTTTACTGAAGTTAAGTTCAACAAAAACAGCCTCTAGAAATTTCTGAAGTGAGCTGAAGGAAGCCAGAGGGGGAGTTCTTTAACAGGATCACCATCTCTCTTTGTTTTTGTGAGCATCTGTTTAGCATTGCTGGTTTTCGCAATGTTATTTAAACCCCATGAAATCAAGGCGGGGGGGGGCAGAAATCAAGTACATGTGATCTGATCTATAAAACCAATATTTGCATACTCTGAGTAATCTTCAGAGAAAGAATCCAGTATTTTGCTGTGTATTTTCAAGAAAAAACTGAATCCATGACAGGTGATTAAAAGGGTACCTAAAGGAGCAGGTGCAAGTGAGCAGTGTCCATGATGTGGAACTCCTGGAGTTTCGTCAACCTTAGAGCTTGCATACTGACTTCATATATGCACAAACAAAGGGACATAATTAGTGGAGAAACCACTCCAGATGCAAGGAAGTTTTCAGAGAACAGATTCTTGATCCTCAGCTGCCTTCAAGTGACCAGAAAGCAGATGAGGGCTACTGTCTCTGGATATTACTTTATTCTCCCTGGCTGAGCTTCAAAACATGTTATATAAGGAAAGTCTAATTAGAATGGCTGCCTCTACCCAGCTGGCTGACATTTATTTGCCATGGGAAGAACCTGTCCACTAACAACATTCCCATGAGCCTGACTGACATGCCTGAAGAGCAGACTGAGTAGAGTCTATAGCCTGTTCCCAATGACCGCAGAAACCTCAGGTCTTTTCCCTTTAGGCATTGCAGCCTTGATGGAAAAACCTGCAAAATAGATGAGGGTCTGTTTTACAATCTAACAGTGCTCTGCACTGCTTTGGAAAGATGACAAACATATGGACTGCCACCAATTATTAGAACTTAGTGTGAAATCACAGGAGAGTTATGAGCATGTAGCTTTCATGATCTGTTTCACACACATTTGCAAAAGTTTTCCAAAATAAAGATATCAGTGCACAAACAGTTTTATAACCTATGTCTCTCTACCTTAAGAAACAAGTTGTTTCTAAGTTGCTGAGCAAACAAAACCTGTTCTTCAGGTATTCTATTTTAATGATTTTGCATCTTATCTCCCTCATCATAATAAGCTCACTTGTCTCCTAGTCTCCTGCCAGTCTGGAAGGACAAGAGACAGCATTTGCTGTGCCTGGTTTTGAGCTTCACACATGCCAGGTTGCCAGCTGGCAGATCAAACAGAATGAATGATGATTTCAGCTCACAGTGGAGCCTTTCCCCCTTAGCAGCACTAAGCTGGGTCTCTCCTCTCTTACCACACCACTGATTTTCACTTGTAGGAACGTAATACTTTTGAGATCATCTCTTGCCAAATTCAAGAAGTTGGACAAGTTCAAAGGCTACTGGGAGGGAATGAAGGGAGGGCAGGGAAGAAGGGGGAAGGATAGTTGGCTGACAACCAGAATAACAGCACAATCTTTATTCCAAGGAAAACAAGACCAAAAATAGATTTTAAAAGAATAAATGCATAGCTAACACTTAAAGGCAGCTAGTGGACAATATATAATGAGAAATGTGTCTCTAACCAATAGCCATTTAATTATTTTTTCCTTGAAAAAACCTTAAGCAGCCATGGTGTCTGTTCAACTCTCACTCTTCCCCCCTGCACTGCAATACCTTTTGAAGCTGGTGAACAGTTTCAGCCAAAGGTGACCCAGGGAATGGCAGGTATCAGGCAGTTTGCATTTCCATGGCTGATGCAAGTTCAGGGGTACAACATCCGAAACAGACTCTATACAGAATAGCTTTGAAATATAGAATAAACTGATGTTTTAACAATTGTGGTGAAGGTGCTATACTTACAGGATACAGTTCTAAGGAAAATCAGCTTTCTGTATTTCAAGTATTTGACAGTTTCACAAAACATAAAAGCTACAGTTTATAAGTTTCACACATCTCCTCCTCCCATTGTCTTCTCCTCCTCCCCAATTAGGTTAATTCATATAACCACGTATTGTCAACAGTAAAAGTTACAGTATTGTAAATGAAGCATAGATATACTAATTTTACAGGCACACTATGTGTAATCACAGAAGCATCTCCCAAGCTTGACAGAAAAGATAACCACTGGAATTCTAAGAAAAATTTAATAAACAAGTATCAATAAATATTTATGGAACTAACATTTGGACTGCTCTATGAGATCTGTTAAAAAAAAAAACACAAAACAAAACCACAATCAGTCCTGTTGACATTTTTGTTTAAGAATAAACCCATTTGGAAGGTTATTGTCCATTGCCCCATGCAGAACAGTTGAGAAGGAAAGTAAACAAAGAATCCACATAGAGGTTGAGAAAAACGTATGCTTCCATGCTCATAAAAGTTTGTGCAGCTATAAGGCTACAAAATGTCAAATTTCTTAACAGTTAAAAACAAGGTTGAAATATTAAAATTAAATCCCAAAGATAGTCAAAATTTGTTACAGAAAAATACTGTAATGAGGTTGCAAATACAAGCTGTTCTGTAGTAATGAGAGACATGCTACTATCTATGTAACATTGCAACTCTTATTTTGAGAAAAACTATAAGCCATGTACATGGTAGTAGTTTATTTAGACTTTTTACAAAAATAAAGTAGCCCAAATGTACTTAGAAATATTGGAGGATTTACAAACTACAGAGTACCATAGTGCCTCTAAGAATCACTTCATCTATATGTTTACCAGCGTAGTGACCCTTGAACAAGAACATTAATCACTATCTAACAACTGAAACAAATTAAAAATATGTATTTCTACCACTGATACATTCTTGATATCCGACCTCTCAATTGGACTTCAAAGCATATGTTAAGGAAAACACTTGAAATAATTATGTGACTGCTGTGGATTACCATATACAAACTGAACAGCACACTGTTACGCAGTTTGAGCCAATCTCCTTTGAAACCTTAAGAATTCTTCAAGCAATTAGGAATAAAGAGAACAGAACAGTTTCAAACAAGGTTCCAATTTTTCCAAGTCTTGTCTTCCATGTCTAACTTGTTCCTCAGTTGAAGAGAGAACAAGGCATAGAAATGCCTAAAGTAACCATTCAATTCCATAACTGAACTTGTAGTTGCCAAAATAACATGCCTTCCTTTACTTGCTGTTTTACAAAGGAAGTTGAATTTCCTGCTCTCTTCAAGAAGCAACTGAATGTTCAAGGCTTTGAGCCCCAGAGAGATGCTAAGGATTCCATTAGCAACTATTTCATTTCTTTTCTTTTTGATAGCAGAGTTCCCATAGCTGCCTCAGGAGCAAGGGCATTTCAGACTGACTATTGTAATGTTACGGAGAGGAAATCTACACAGTCTGATGCGCTCTGTATGCTGATTTTCACACTTGATATCATGGGACTGGAGGAATTTAGAGAAAGGTCACCATTTTCAGCAACTTCTCTTGCGGAGAAATGGGAAGTTGCTCAAAGTATTGAACTCTGTCACACAAGTCATGAAGAAGCAACTGAGTTAAGTAGGGATCCAACTGTCCCTTTTGACACAGCCACTTTGGGATTTATACAGTTAGGCCACATTTTGCTCACAGGGCACCTGGAACTATGTGGCAACTCCACCCTCTAATATACTGAGCATCTTTGTCATATTCTCAGTACCACAATCTCCCTGTCCCAGAAAGGGCTGGTAATGCACCATGGCAATTTGTACATAATTTTTGAGATTTTCATTGCTATAGCAACTCAGTGTAGGCATTTAAACATAGCAACAGGCTTTTTATAGCACTTTCTTGGATGTCAGAATGGCATGTTGCTTTATTTTCTAAGCAGATGCTCAGAAGATAAGTATACAAGATGAATGTACAGTACCCACCTTCAAAATGAAGAAAAAACCTCCCAACTTCACAACCTCTGAATCATATAAGCAGACAGATAAGTGTAAGGCATATTGTGAGTTTAAAGGATTTTGTTCTGAGAAATCATATCACTAACTACTACCTGAGAACAAGATTAGGTGAAAAACTTTGTTGATTTGTGCCCATTTTGTAAAAAGTTGTGCGAGAAATTTACAAGGTCCTACTGTGAAGGGGAAAAAAACCCCCACAACTTTTCATCAACTCTGATCTTTACCTGTTAAACAAAAGAAAAAAGGGAAATTGTCTTCATATTAAGTGGAGCCAGATTCTCAGGAGGGATCAAAATTCACTGAGACGGACCCTTCGTTCATGCACATGGGCAAAGCTACGCACATTCCAAACACAGCACCAGTGATTTACAAGAAGTGAGAGTTTGACCTGCTATGTGGTTTAAAGAAATACAGTTCATCATTTTCATAATAAGAAAGGCTACTTTTCGCTGGTATAGAATTTTTCTCTGGGTCCTTTAAGTTCTGTATCATTTCTACAAGTGATCAGTGAAAAACACCACTTGGTGTTTAATGTAATTTCTGAACACATTCCTAGATAAGGAAATACCAAGCAGCAACAGGACAGATTTCCTGGGGATCTTTAGGTATTATTCACCTTTCTGTTATGATTATATTGCAGCTTTGTATAGAGTGGGATGGTTGATGTTTGCCATTTTACCAACATTTTAAGTCTGTTAAACAGGAAATGTCAAAGACTTAAAAAAATGAATCAAACAGGAAATGTCAAGAGCTTCTTATAAGGGTACAAGGTTGTTAATATTCCAGTAAGTCTATTCCATTAGCACACAATATAAGGGTTTTGGAAGGGACATTTTAATGCTTGTTTGATGCAGGAGAGATTTCAAACAGGTCCCAAAAGCTCAGCACACAGATAAAAATCGAGTTTTACATGTTGAGGTTTTAGAATATATCCCACAAATTCTTTCTCCCTCTTCGTCACAGATATTTTCACTTAAATCAGTGAACAGAGCAGTTTAAGTCTCCCAATCTGGCTTTAAGTATCTAAGCTACTTGGGAATTCTGATACATCTGCTTGGTTTTCTACAGTCTGCTCCACTGACTACTGCACTTACTAAAAACAGCTTTTAGAGCAATGCTGATAATTATACCTATCAAAGAATAGGAATGATAAGTTTATTAACTGCAACAGCCCTCATGGAAGTCAAGATGATAGGCACAACCATACTTGCATAGAGAACTAAGCACAAGATTTAGGTTTGCTTACAAGATTTTTCCAGTCTGAGATGATGTGCAGAACATGAACATGACTTAGCACCTCCTCCTGGGGCAAACTCCACCCTCCATTGCGACTAGACCCCTAATTGTATCGTGCTATTTTCATGAGCCCAGAGGTCAGTCACATTCGTTTGCTATTTAAAAAGAAAAATATGGGAAATTCAGTGGCCTAAATTGTGAAGCATATGTGCATTTTTATACATTGTTAAATTATTTCCCTTCCTCTCCACAAGCTCTCCTTCAACTTATGGTGAGACATTTTATTTTTAGTTTTTCTGTTCAGCAGTTAGAGCACAGTTCAGCACAACTTTGGAAGTTTTAACAGGAAATGTTAATTGACATATCATGCTTTATTATATTCTACTACCTGCACACATACACCTCCTTCTAAAAAGGCCTTTCCAGAGATATTTCAGAGAAACTGGGGGAACATTTGAAAATTAAATAGTGGATTTTTCTTTTCCAAAATTTCAGAAACAGATCTCATTCTATGGATCCTACCATTTGTTAGTGCATCCCTCTAAGTCCAAAACAAGATGGTCGAAAATGGACCCAGTGCTCCTACTCAAATTCTCCTAGATTTCAGACTCTTATTTCCTGCTAACTAACATAACCTTTACCTTTGTGGTATTCACCAAGAGCCTGATCTGGCACCACTGAAGTGAATGGAAACTTTGCTGATGATTTCAAAAGCAAAGGCTCAGAGCCAAATTTCCCATGTATAACTTCAGCGTTACAAAACACACTGCAGAATTATATAAACAGTAATAATTTTACTCTGAAGGCAAGCCCCTAGCCCAAAGCAATTGCTGTACTTGACCCAGCAGCACAGAATTTCTACCATGTATCCATTTCCAGTATGCAAAACCTTACAACTGGTAGGAAAAAAGGAAGTGCAACTCCTACATAAAATGCTTTTCCCCCCCACTGTTTGTTATATCAACTTTTCAACTTCTTTGCTTTTTACAGCAATTGCAGGAACTAGCCCAGTGGACCCCATTTCATAGCCATGAGATAGCAGCTCTGTTTGGACAATCAACAAGATAAGTGTATTTGCACATAAATTAGGGGGCAGCACAGTGATTCTAAAGTATAACTTTGTATCATGACAGAACACAACAGAATATGCTTTAGCATTAGTTGGGGGAAGAAACTTTCAGGTTTACATACACACTTTACATACGTTACCTGCCAAGTTTGCATGTTTCCCTCCATGCCCCTCTCATCCTCCCCCCTCCAAGCAATCTGTGTTAGCATAAAAAAAAAAATCTTATTCTACAGGCCTTACTTGTCCAAACCCACAGGTGATCATATTTACAACATTACAGGTCCCTGATGACTTGTGATACCTCAAGACTTTGGGTTTTGTACATTTTAAGGGCAGGTAAAAATTTTAGTAGATGGTAAGGTATTCTTGATTTCAGCTACTAGCTGGGGGTGGTGGTGGTCATTGTTGTTGGTTTTGTTGTTGTTTAAATCTTTCAGATACTTAATACATTTGGTAATTCCTATGTAAAATTGAATTTCTCAAATTATTTTCCAGATTGTAAAATTAACGATAGACACACCGAAATAAACAAAGTAAAGTAAAGAAAAAGCCTATTGCATCTACCTACTGAAGAGGATTAAATCCCGGGAGGTTGTTAGAGCCCAAGCTCTCCAACAAAACCTGAGGCTACAAGTCCACTCGCTCTAAGTATCAAATCCCTCTTTCCTTTTCAGAATTCTTAGAACCTACTTTCCAGGGAGGGAAACTGAGTTATTATTTCAAAGTGCTACCATAACTGTCACAGTCTTAGTTCTCCATAACATAACCACTACACGTGTACATAAGCAGTAATTCGTGTCTTGAGTCACTAGTTTATAAGCTTACAAAGATCCGATCCATCACCCACTCAGATTTCCTTTCTGTCAGTGATACTGAGATCCAAAACATCTCTTTGACCCACTTTTCAAAGGAAGTACAAGTGGAGAACACATCACAAGGAAATTCTTCTGCTTAGTTTACAGTAAGGCTTCAAGTTAGGACAGAAAAGAGATCTCTCTCTGCCCACAAATCCCTCAGATCTTTAAATAGCCCACAAACCTTGAAACAGCAAGCATTTTCTTTCCCCTTCCACTCACAAGCCATTTGATGTTTCTTTTTCCTGGACTTATACACTTCTCTAAGAACAGCAACTAGATGAGGCAAGAGAATTCCATGACATGTAAGGAACATACACATATGACCCTTGAAATGAGAAGCTTTCACATCTGCCTCTTCTCAGTACCAACTCCCTATACCTCTGTTGCCATACTCTGTCTTTCCAGCTTTTCAAAAAGTGATTTGACATATTATCATTAAAAGCTTCAGAAAGCAGATTGATCCAAAGGAGGATGGAAGAAGCTGGTGCTAAAGATTGGAACTATGAATCTGGCTGCTAGATAATTCTTAACTTCCACTGCTTTGGTCCCAGATAAATAGGACTATAGTTATTAAAACTGACTCAAACATATAAAAAGATAGAAGGTAGGGAGGTGTACAGGTTTCATGTCCACAGCCAATTTAAAGCTTAATCCAGAGAGATGTAAAATGGATGGATTTATGAGAGTTAAATACACTGATAATCCTAGGTACTTTATCATAGTGCTGATGTTAACACACAATTTTCACTATGTACAAATGAGCAACCTGTACTTTTTGTATTAAATTACACTAATTGTCATCATAACATCTTTACTGAAGAGAAATTTAAACATAGGCAATATATAATACATTCTAAGTTACAAAATAAAAAAGGATTGTATGGAATAAGAACAATAGTTGTTGAAATGTTACAAGATATCATATATTAAAAATATATACTTAGTTCAGACATGGAGGAGTTAGACACAGATTAGTTATTCCAGTCCATAAACAAAGGTAAAAATAACTTATTAAAACTTAAACGCCTTCTAAATACCCTCTGAAGTTGCACAGCCTTGCACAAGTTGAAGGGGTATATAAAATGTCACAAGTAAAGTAACATATGCAACACCAGCAAATCAGAACAAGGGCCTCTGGAGGCTAGAAAATACAAAAATATTAAAAAAGCAAGGACTCTCTAGTATTCAGCATTTAATATATTGGACTGTTTCTTAATTTTCACTGTTAGTTCTAATAAACTTAGATTTCTATGGGTTGTATCGTTAGATTATTAAGCTCCAAGTTTGGTATAATTGTTGATTTGGGATATAATTGTTGATTTAAAATATGAAGGTCAGCTAGGAGATCAACCTAAAAGTACTAAACTGTTCACTAATGGTAGTCCAGAGAAAAATAACAGGAAAATTACAAGTTTTGCAACCGGATCTGAAGTGTTCTAACAAGTAAGATTCATTTATCACATTCTCTTGAAGCTAGATGAAGTGAACTTTCGTTAGAGTATACACAACACCTACCATATAAAATATAAATGCAGTAACTGTTAGCACTTGCAGGAACACTGTCTATGCTCAGAACTCTAAATTCACCCAATCTTTGCATAGCATAAACTAAAAACTACTGTCTAATCACTTCAAAGATGGAAATTTGCTGCTGATTGCAGAGAATTTTTCACCAGATGAAACCATGCTATATATGACTTGAAAAATCAACTCACTAACACAAGTTGTTACTAATATGAGTTAGTAACAGAAACCCGAGTCTTCAATTTCAGCTATCATTTCCTTGTACTGACCTCATTCTTTCATGCTGTTTACATACTGCTGTCTGAAAAAAAAGAGCTTAACATACACATTAGTAAGACAAAAAAAAGTGTTTTAATCTGCCAAGAAAATAAAATACACTTCAGTGCAGAGTACCTACCAAACAGCACAGATAGAACTGAAGACTGAAATATCAGGAAATGTAAATATTGTGATTTTTCATACTAAAGCAATCATGCTTTAACATTTGAAGGTGTGGGGTTTTTTTTCTGTACAGCATTCCAATTAGACACAACTTCATGGTATTAATTTACCTCTAATAGGGTTAAAACCAAACACATACTGTATAAAGAAATGGCTCTGGAAATGTCTTTTTAAAAGACAGGTTCCAGACACAAGTAGGTAATCCATCAAAATGAACAACTCCAGCACTGTTAAAAGCAAGCATGTGGGAAGAGAAGTCATACAATTAAAAAAAAAGAAAAAAGAAATCTGTTAAATATCCGTTTCCCTATAACATGTATTGCTACTAACTAAGACTCTCTAACAGTTAGTACAATACAGATAACAGTATCTGTGAATCAGGTTGCCTTGAATTACTGACTACGTACCTTTATTAATCAGTCTCAGTATAATTAACAGAGCTTTTTCTTTTTCATTCTTGTATATTTCCAAACAGTACGTAAGAACTAGGTTTCGTTAACTACATCCACTTTTTAAGCAGCTAAAATTTGAAGAAGAGGTAGAATTTGAAGGGGGTGGGAGGGAAGAGGTAGAAAGAACCAACTACTCAGTATCACAACAACAAGGTACTGTACCTTTAAGGAGGAAATATGGTTCCGTTCTGTTTCCCAGCTGAAAAAGAGCTTATTCTTGGTTATAGAGATTACTTACCTAAAACTTCAGTTATTCCTCTTTTTCCCTTCAGGCCAGCCTCTCTTTCACTCTTGGGAGCTTTTACCATTTAAGGTCAATGTTACATCTGGCTCTAGTAACTAAAGCTGAAGCAATTTTTAACTCAGAGATCCAACAGGCTGTCTAACATTAGAATGAGAGTTTAAATTTAAAGTAACTCTTCAGAAAGCCTCTTTCTTGCCTCTGAGAGTTACAGAATAAAAGGCTTTCCTATTCTGGCATAAGTACTCCGAGTACAACGCGATGCAGACATCCCATTAGCATTCTTCAAGTTCACTGCATAGAAGGCTCTACTTACTCATTTCTGATTAAAATGGGCAAGTAGGAAGAACAGATGAAATAGTTTACATCACATTATGTTAACCCTTAGAATTTTTTACTGAAACAGCTGCTACTATTTGTCATTCCCTCCCCCCACTTTGCTTGGTCAGGAGTCTAAATTAGAGAGCCAATACAAGGCATGTGAACTTTTAAGAGAACATTGGCTTCAGTCCAGTCATGGGCTCTGCTCCCCACTTGCAGAATATGAATAATTCCCATTGAAGTCCACAGCAGTTGCTTGTATCCCATGAGAGAATGTAACTACAAACAGGGCATGAAGAGGGAGAATAAAACCCCACCATTTACCACACTATATCCAGGTACTTGCAGGAGAATCACATGCATGTGATTCAGAACTCAGCTCCGAAACAGACATAGATCTTACTCCAGCCCTTTAGCAAATTCAGATTATTTATTTATAAGTATTACAATCACATCCACAGATCCTAAGAGTTCTGCTCATGCCAGGTGCTGTAAAGTTGTTAAATGTAAGCAAGCCAAACCCTGTCCAAAAAAGCTTTCACAATTCAAGTAGAGACAAAAGAGCTGAGGATAGGAAATGTCAAAAAAATGCACCAGAATGTATGTAAAATTATTAGATAGTGAGTTTGGAGGAGACATATTAGGGCTGCTTTAAGAGAGTGGAGTAAACGATGATACTAAATTAACTTCCTTTTGATAATGGCTAATAAAAGCATCAAGGCAGAAACAGATCAGACAAAGGAAAGTAAGGATTTGATGATTTGACTTGGAAAGCACACTCCATAGGGGAGTGATGCATGGAAACATGAGGATGCTTGTAGGAGAAGTGGGCAAAGTTGAGTTGATTGCAACATAGCACAGGCCCTGTAATACAAGGAAATAAGAGGCTAGGCACCTCATTTATGCCATATCAGCCTTGAGCTTGTATGAGGAAGTCTATTATTCTACACTTAAGAGATCCTTTTTCCCCAAAATCAATATAGTAAAAAAAAGTTCTGAAAAACTTCTAACATTGGCATTTAAGCTTGATCCCAAGATAATGGGAGTAGGTAGGCATTTCAGAAACCATTTCAGGTTTTGATGCCCTTTGTCCACTTACAGTCCTTTGCACCATTACTGGCTCTCTGACAAGACATTTTAACATACCTCCTTTCATCTTCTTGAATTAATACTTTGTTACCCACAAATTTGAGTTTTGAAGTATTCTCTTGTGGCTCAGCATGGTTACAGTCTTTCATCTAGTTATCTGCCACTACAGAAGTCTTACTAGCATCTGTAATTCATCATTTTTCAGTTTTATTTTCTCAGAATTTCTAAGCCACAAGTGCCAAATATTTTATTTGTCTGCCATCGAAGTTGTGTTTCTCTTAAATCTGCATATGCATCCCTTTCATAGCAAAGACTGCTTTGAACCCAGTTTGAGCAAGAACAAGTTGCTTACTGCCTTTTAGCACTACCATCCTCTGGGAAATAAAACTTTTCGATTAAGTTGCTTGTTCATTGGTCTAGCATTCTATAATCACTGTTGGCCAACTTTAGCCAAAATTTGTTTAAGTAATGGAGGTCTCAAAATATTTTCAAGTTCCTAGAAACTTCATGAAGTCAGTAGCCTGTAAAGGAGATTTAAGCTACTGCCCTTGCTATGGGAGAAACTTCTAGCAACAGAGTTTCAGTTCTCTTTTGTTTCATCCATTCACGTGCACCACACAAACAGGACCCCTGCTGTTTAGGCAGTATTTAGGGGACACAAGGACCCTGCAGGTACTCATAAGAAGTGGAAAACAATGCTTCCATCAGTCTTCAGCTCCTGAAACTGCTTGTATATTTTTATGTCCTATAGCATGCTCAATGCTTTGGCAGGTGCTTTGCCCAGAGATTTGTTTAACATGAATAATCTCTGGCCAAATGCAAGTGAAACTTGCTAGCTAAAACCTAAGTTTTTGAATGAGGGAATCCTAGCATCTAAAAATTAGTTATTTTAACTAGATTGTTAACGTTGTATAAAGAAAGCATAGTAACATGTACCATGCAAGAAACACTTTTCGTAGGGCTTTTTTGTTTGTTTGCTTTGGTTTTGTTTTTTAAGATCTGGTGATACCAGCTTCTTTTAAAACATTTCTAATACAGACGGCTGGCCATATACAGTAGCAGCAAACTCTCCCCCCCTTTCTCACATAACCCAACTTATTTAAGTTCCTGGTATTATGGTAGTGTATAGCATAAAATTATTCTCTTATAAATATTCTGAAGTACCTCAGAGTAGCTAGATGTAGTCCTCTGGGGGATACATATGGCCTGGCAGTGGTATGTATGTGCCCCTCACCAGTTAACTTCCTGTTTTCTTCATTTTCACAGCTCTGACTTATGAAAGAAGTAGTGCAGTATGTATCAATGCTAAGTTTCATGAGTTAGGCTCCCTAAGTTTAAAGATTTTTACTTATGCCTTTGAAGAGACAAACACAAGCACTGAAATCCTGGTCATACTGAAATAATTGAGTTCTGCCTCTAGGGCTGAAGTATAAGTAAGACTTCATGCAGGATCTTCATTTTTGGGGCACAACAATTTTCAAGTGCTAACTTCGTTTGAGCAACAGCAGACAAGTGATCTTGCTACACTCTTTTTTTCTAGTTTTGGCTTTAATTGGGCAGTCTGGAAGATAAGAACTTTAACTCAAAAGGCTTATTTGGGTAGGAATAGTTGTAGGTGCCTTCATTTGAGCTTTTGATGGGCTCAGAATAAAGCCGTACATTCTCTACCACATGTATAGAGTAATGCCTAGAAAAGAATTATATAAAAGAGAATTTCCGTATTATTTTGAAGAATTTATGCTTCAGGACTTTAAAATACATTGTATTAGAAATGTTGCTTATTATCCTTTCTGCCCATACATAATCATCATCCCTGATAAAAAAGAAGCATGTTATAGCTGACAAAGTTTAAGTGGCAAGACATTATTATATTCTCTTATTCTTTATTCAGTGATTAAAGTATAAAGATTATTAATCAGGCAAGCTAAAAGTCTGCAGAAGTGATAATATTTGCCCTTAAAACTGGAGTTCTATAACATAATTTTTCATATTTCACTTTAAAAACATCCCGAAAGTTTTTATCAGTTAAGACTTTTTGTCCTACCACATCTAGAATGCATTCCTGTCACTCTCAGGTCCACCTCACAAATGCCAATGAGCATTGACAATTTTGTTTATTGAATCAATTGTATTAGCCATCCTCGTCATCTTATTTCTCCCCAACTGTATGGAAAAACTACTTAACTGAGTCTCAAGTTTATGCCCAAGACTTCCTGTGTGCCTTCATTTTCTTGCACAGCATTTTTTTGCTCATTTAAATATTTAATCTGACATCAGATTTGTGTTTTCTGTGGGTTTTCTGGCTTGTATGTTGCTACCACTACAGTGCGCACAAAAGTCATTTTATCATTCATGCTGGCATCCATTATGCAGATCTCATTTATGTATACAACTCTAATACTGTGTGGCAGTCTTATCTGCCAGCTTCATCCAGACAGGAGAAAAAAACAAGACAAGAACCGGTCTGGTAAGTAAATCCATTACAAAAAAAAAAATATACAAGGCAAAACATGCAATAAACTTTCTACATCTGGGACTCGCTCATTCTGCTGAATACTAAATCCCAATTGGAATCTAGAATACTTGAACTAAAATGTATGTTGGTTCAACAGGATGGTATTAGTCAACATTCACTCTGCCAGTCAGCTGAGCAGCTATAATAGAATATTTATGAAAAATGTAACAAAACTTTATGATACTTTTAATGATGTTTATGCAGCAACTTTTCTAGATGAGTCTTCAGAAAGACAGGTGTTTTGCTTCCAACTTTCTACAGCAAAAGAGGAGCACTTCATATGAATCAGAAACATTAAGTTAAAAGAATATGCAACTGCAGAATAAAATAAGAGCCTGCAGAACAAGATAAGGAGACATATGCTAGAGCCCAGTCATTTTAAAGAAAACATTTATATTGACAACAAAGTAAATAAAGTTTGCTTTGAGGTCATACAGATGATCCTGTAAACTAGTCCATGTTATGTGGAAAGATTTAAGACTTAGAGAGAAGTACTCAAAGTGCTCACAAAAAACCTACTAATTAAGCCATAATGAGTCTTTTTATTTATAAAGCTAACATTTTTCTCAGTCTCAAAATAGCCAGCTAATAATCTCTATATGAGAAACAGACAGAGTCCAAGAAACAGAATGTCAATCTGTTTACTAGCATTCATTGCCAGAGAATCAATAAAATGATCCAAACTGACAAACACAGTTTAAAGGGCCAAGTCTTTCTGGACAAATGTTACACAAAGCATTTACAGAAACCGTTATATTTTCATTTCCCATATTCATGTCCTGTTTTTTTTTCCTGCTCCCTTTAAGAAAGTGGTTTTAAAAGTGAAGTTCCAATAAAAGCACCATATTAAGACATTTATAATAGTTTACAAGGAAAGCAAAACAGTATCAGAAATCCAAACCTTTGTGGGCAAGCAAGTTATTCTGTTTCCATGTCCTTAAAATCTAGCCTACCAAGAAGCTAAATATATCGAATACTTTTTAGCACACACAGAGTCTATCCACAGAGAACACCTCCCATTAGAGCTCATTTTCTATTTTAATGGGGGGGGGGGGGGGAAAGAGGAGGGATGAAGTTTTACATTTACTTTTCTGGGGATCTTTTTAGAAACCTGAAGAGGTTAATACTCACTATGACTAAGCTCCATCTTACCTTGTCTGTGAGAAGTTAGGCAGAAGTGAAGAATTAGGAGAAAAAGAATCCAAAGGATGACAGGCTTCTCCTTCCACGCGGATGTATGTACATATAATAGCATACTACTATATACTCTAAAGTACAAGTAAAGGAGACTAGTACTGCACACTGATCTAGGCCAAAATAGTAAAGTTATACTTCTTCCTGAATTCAGTATTCATATTGATGTTTGGATTTCCTACCCTATTCCAGTCCAAGAAAAGGGAAATTAAAACATTGCAAGAAGATATTTTAATCCATAGAAAGAAAAGCATGACTTTGCTTTTTCTTAGGAAAAGGATGCAAGACAGACATTTACAGACA